TTAGAGATTTTTAAAATGGTGTTCCACATAAAGTCTTCAATATTCTTTTTCTGAAGAAGCAATCTTTATTATGAACTATTGTCTATAAATGTCTTAGAAAAGAGGACAAACAAAAAGTGATTGTTTTTTCCATTTTCAGGTGACTATGTTCAGCTCCAGACATTGTGTGTCACACACTTGTATGACATGATCTAACATTCCCCTTTTTACACCTGTAACCCCTTAGCACTTGGTGTCTGACAGAGGAGCAAAGGGAAGAATGAAAATGCCATGTCCTGTGGACTTGGGAGGGGAGACGGAAGGTCACATGCTTGGTCTCCACTTAGCTCTGATGTTCTGGAAAGATTCCTCTGCCAGCTGCCATCTGGATTAGCCTTAAAGGTCAGGTAACAACCAGCCAGCAGTTGTTCGGAGACAGAACAGCCACCCATCTTACTGCACTTGTTCTCCATCTTGGGGTTTTTTTGACAAGCCTTGGGCCTGCCCTTACGATCCCGCGTCCTAGAGCCTGTGGCAGTTGGAGAATAAGACTATGTAGCTGTAGCTGCAAGGAGACATTTTCATTCCTGGATACATCCTGGGAAAAGATGCACTCACAGCCATGATGGGTCATGTGCTGCAGACAACATCTGTGCAGCTAACAGACTGGCAGTAGAGGGCAATGCGAAGTAAGGATTTGGATAGTTTCAGAAACACAGTAAATCGTAAACTGCGTATTTGAGATGAAAATCAGGATGGTGAGAAAGAAAAAGATGTACAGCAATGTGTGTGTGTGTGTGTGTGTGTGTGTGTGTGTGTGTGTGTGTGTGAAAGAGAGAGGGAGACAGATAAACAGAGAGATAGAGAGAAACAGAGAGAGAGAGAGAGTCAGCACAGGCCATTAGCTATGCAGTAAAGAATGGTCACTTGGAGAGGATGCTCACCAGCCAGACTTCTTCAGAGACTTGTCATAGCATTTAACAAATACTGCGGAGTCCTTTCCCTTCTGCAGATGAGATACTTTTTCCCT